ATATATATATTTCAGATATTTCTGTATTGTTTACTTTACCGTTTAATAACTGCATTTTGCTAATTATATTTTCTTACTTTTACTTAAGTAACATGTTAGTGAGAACTTATACTAGTAATAGAACATTTTTTACAGGATGGTATTAGTAATTTAATTAAGTAAGGTCAGAATACTTCTTCTACCACTGTTTAGACATTATACAACATAGAATTGTACTTCCTGTTGAGCATATAGTGATGTTAGCGGCCTTTAACACACAGGGGAAGTAAAACAGGTGCTGAAAGAGACTGAGGATAGAAAGATCTGGAATTGTATTTGTGTGCTGTTGAGTGATCTTGTATGTTTGTCACCTGGCGTCACAATAGTTGTCTGGAAGAGTAATGGGCATGATTGCATGACAGTGTTTCAACATTTTGTTCCTATTGTCCTTCTAACTTTCCCACCTGGTACTTTTTCTTTGTGTCTGCTTAGCTTGTGTCATGGCTTTGGCATTTTGCAACATTTTTCGGCTGCCTGCAGGCTCTGAATTTGAGACAGAAACTACGCGTTTAAGAACAATTATTAATTTATTAATTAATTATTGCCAAAAATAATACACCAACAACAAGGAAATACTCAAGCCTAGTTGTCTATTAGACTTAGCTGAAAACACGAATCAGCACAATATATAAAACCAATCTGAAACGCATATATCTACTATAAGACCTCACTACATGTGTTTATCCACATAATCGACACAGTGGTGAAGTGGGCCTATAGGGCAAGTTAAAGTCAAGATATGTCGTCCTTTTTTAGTGAAATGTTATATTTTAAAAATACAGTAAAGCTTATTCCTCACTGAACTGAATTAAGCTTTCTGTGAAAAAAGGAAATGAACATAGAGAGAAAACCAACATTTGACCTTGTGTTCCTCAATCTGGCTTTAAGTTTAGCAAGAAATTACAAAACTAAACTCACGCAGTTGCTGACCTTACAGTCGGGTCAAATATAATGAACTGGCTGCTGTTTCTTTAGAGTCATAAAAAGAAAGGCTTTAATATTTCTTAATGCTTTCGTAAGCTCATGAGATGTCGTGCATATAACAAACAGCTGATCATATAAGATGCATTTTTTTTATAGTGAAACAGAAACTTTTCTACTGATGAAACTGATGCTGATAGTTGATAACATGGATTGTTTTTGGACAGGATGTCTTCAAAATGAGAAAGCTGCATTTATCTTATATGTCAAGAACAGCTACTATTTCATATTAATTTGTTTTGTGCTAATGCATCTATGTTAATAAGCCCTCAGCCTTGCACATGGTTGGACCATAAGCTTCTGCAGGTTATGTGCTTGCTTTTTAATATGCAATAGGTTTTCCTCTCTGCAAGGTGGAAACTCCTTTGACCATAATCGGGCTTGTTAAAAAACACCTATCATTTTACTGCTCACGGTACAAAATACAAGAGCTTCCTTATGAGGTTGGTATTATATCTCTTTGTATTGTTATCATAAATCATCCGTGACATCGTGACTTTTCGTGAGAGGACTCCTGCTTCCTGGATTAGGGGAATTACACTGAATTAACCAAGAAAACTGTGGGGCATTGTTGAAGCTGCAGCTCACTAAATGATGAAAATACATAACCTGGCCTTTTGTCAATTTGAGTTACGATTTCTTTCCATGACAGTGCAGAGTCTTTGCTTGATGAATAAATGCTGGATTTCCCAAACAGCACCCTTTGGTCTTGAACACACCCCCAAGTTGACTAATAGCGTTTCAAGCATTGCTGTACATTTCTGCTTTTTACTTCCTTCAAAGAGGGAACTGTTAATGATTAGAGCAAACTCTGTGGCGCATGTTGCAAACACAATGATGTTCTGAGAGAAAAGTGACCCTTTACTTTGGTAAAAAGCATTAAAATGTAACTCTCATTGAAATGTATGAAATTAAAGGGTTTTTAAATATTATTTCTCCTGCATGGTAAGACTATTTGCTTATTTCACATTGCCTTAACGTTATAAAGTAAGGGGGGGGGAAATGATGCTCATTCATGATGTGCAAAGATAAATCTGTCAATTGATCAACATTTTATAGAGTAATTAATGAAATGAATACATTAATATTTGCCTGGAAAGACTTGCCAATAAATACATTTTGATTCACATTACATTATTGTGACACAGAATGTAAACGGACAAATAAAAAGGAGGCATTAGTAATCGATTAACAGTTTTATTTCAAATCATTTTCCGGCAGGATAATAATCTTTCCGGGGTTGTACGTCCCATTGTTATGAAATGTCCCATTGTTATGAAATGTCCCATTGTTATGAAATGTCCCATTGTTATGAAATGTCCCATTGTTATGAAATGTTTTATTCAATTTGCCACATACGTTTACTTAAGGATCAACCAATATTGGTGTTATAGGTCTCTGTCCATTTTTATTCTAATTATGACAACTCAAATGTCGGATAAAATAACATGTTGGGTTGAAATTGAAAACTGAAATTTGAACTTTTTTGCATGGACCTACAACTCAGTCTGCTGTAGCACTGACGGCCATACAAAGTGAAATATTTCTTTAAATAAAAATAGGTTCTTGGAATAGAATCATTTTAAAGATTTTTTTAAAGATGTGTTTTTGGACTAAAATAGTTCCTGATATAACACCCTGCAAATCACATTAATCAGTGCAGTCAGTAAGTTATTGTTTAGCAATGTCTCTTCACGGGTCGACGGCTTTCTCCAGCATTTGTTCTTTGTTTTTAAAGTTTTGAGTGACAACTACAGTATGAAAGGGCTTTTGTACCTATAGCAATCTTGTGGCTTCTCACACAACCCAACACATACAGTTGAAAAGTGAACATTACACAACGTCTCACGCAACAAAATATTTACCTCCGATCCTCTCGTGTGACTATTTTGAATGGAAAACTACTTACTGCAACTACTAAAAAATAGATGGCAATTAGTTATCTTTTGTCGATTCATCCTTCCTCTTTTTAAAGACTCCTGAGAAATGAAGTCAGTTGATGTGTGGTAACACTGAGGGCCATCAGCCACAAAATGGGCAACATCAGTAAACAAGCGATACAAAGAAAAACTGTCAAGTGCTGCTAATATGTTTACTGTTGGATCAAAAATATGTAAAAAGTTGTAAACATTTTTTCCAACATTTGGGATACAAATATTTCTCTGTTCAAAAAAAAGACTGGATCCAAATAAAAAAATAAAAAAATGTGCCCACAGAATGTCAAAAAGTGACTTTCTCTTTTTTCCCAATGAATATAAAAATGCTTTAAAAACAAAAAACGATGCAAAATAAGAAAATAATGTATTCAACAGCTTACTTACTTACCTTCCCACTTAAAATACTGTAAATGGCTAGTATAATATAATGCAGTTACTTATTAAACATTACAGTTTTCACATACAGTAATCCTCGGGCCTCTCTATTCAACTTGTTACATGCTGCCACTTGCTCAAATAATTGAAAATAACAACATTTCAATCAATAATTACGCAGTATGAACACCCAAATCTAACATATCACTTTCTATAGATGAATACTGTCCTACTGATTTATTGATCACAGGTTTAAAACAATAACATGACTGGATGTGCCGTAATTTCTTACAGCTCAATACGAAAAAAACGAAGTAAGTGTTTTTGGAAACCAAAGAAGAGAGAGTTATAAAGTCACTGCACACCTGGAATCACTCGAACCCAAAAGTCAAGCAAGAACCTAGGTATATTTTAGACCTCTGACCTCAATTTTAACATGTCACATCAAAGCAATCACAAATCAGCCTACTACCATCTAAAAGATATTTTTGCGTATTAAAGACCTTATGTCCATGCAGGACCTTGAAAAAAATGGTCCATGCATTTGTTTTTAGCAAGCTTGACTGCAACAGCATCTTCACCAGGCCTCACAAAAAAAATCACTCCCGTCAACTCCAACTAATTCAAAATGCTGATGCAGAGTGTTAACCGCGAAGAAAAGAAAACAGATCACATACTCCAGTGCTGAGATAGCTGCATTGGCTTCCAGTGAGTGATAGAAATTGATTTTAAGATTTATTGCACACATATAAAGCACTAAAGGGCTAGGACCCAAATATATCAAGGACCTCTTTCAGCCGGTACGAACCCAGCAGACCCACTCAGGTCTTCAGGCGCAGGCCGGCTCACGTTCCATTTGTGAGATCAAAGCGTGGGGAAGCAGCTTTCTGCATTCATGCTCCTAATGCATGGAACAAACTCCCAGAACATCTAAGAATGGCTAGCACTTTAGAATCATTTAAATCAGGTCTAAAAACATTTCTTCTTAACATGGCTTTTTAATGTTCTATTTTTTGAACTGTTAAACATGGTTTTCTTTCTTTTAATTGTTTTGGTGTGTTATGTATTTCTTCTCACTTTGACCATATTCAAATGTATTGTGTTTTGATCTGTTTGATCCTGTAGAGCACTTTGAATTGGGTTATACAAATAAATTGCCTTTGCCTTGCCTTGCTTTAAGTTGACCAGAAACAATAACTGATAAAGGTAAAGGGTTTGCTGCAACACAGAGAGAAGGAAGAAGGAACTGCATTTTACGACATTATCTTCACTTAATCAGTGCGGGGGGCGATGGCAATCGAGGCCTCACGCTGAGTATAAGAAGGACACAGCATCACACACTTCACATTTTCAAGAGCAACTCAAATCTTCACAGGAGTCTTCACAGACACAGGTAAGAACATTTGTGTTTTATTGGGATGTTTTGATATTTTGGTGTAACGTTATGCTAAAACATAGCTTTTCACAACCACATTAGATTTAGTTTTTGTATTGACTTTTTCTTATTTTCTATTAGAGATGCTTCTCTCTGCCCTTCTTGTGCTGGGCGTCTGCCTGATTCCTGCTCACTCCAAACCAGCAGGTAAGCTACATCGTAATCAGCGTTTTTTCAATTTCTCCATTTGTGTACATTACTGGCTAATTCCAAATGATTGCGATATTTGACAAATGTGTTCTTCGCAGGGGAACACTCGGCAGTCCTCTTCTTCAAACACTGTTTTGAGAGAGGCAAAGAAAATTGTTGACGATGCTTACAAGTACTCAAGAGAAGAGTGAGTTCATTTTAAAATAGTAATTTATATTTAATATAATTCTGCGATCATGAGTACACTAAAGAAGTTTTTCATTTGCATGCAAGAGCCATTTATTTGCATTATTTCAGAAAATGTATGGGAAAAGTTACGGATTCTCCCAAAAATAACTAAATTTCATTGTTTGATTTTGTGACTTTTTCTCCTCCAGGAGTCTGAGACGGGTTCCGTAAAGAGGTGGTGCGTCCTCACGATGCTCTCCGCCTGCTGAAGCAGCCTCGCGGTCGAACGCGCTCGGCTGCGAGATCTGCAGACTACATGGCACAAACCCTCCGCCTGCTACAGGAGAGGGTGCATCATGTGCACAAACGCTCACTCAACGTGACAGGTCAGACATGTGGCACCAAACAAAGAGAACACCTGCAGACACACACAGAGATCACATTGTTTTCTCACAACTTTTCCTGGTCTTTGTTGAGTTTCTGAGGCTGCAATTATGAACCAGACATGTGACTCTATTAAATATATATTTTGTACAGATTTGCTCTCTGAAGAGGACCTGAATAAGCTGTCAAAAAATAACTGGATGTGCAAGTCAAGTCACTTTCCTTCATGCCGCACAACACCAAACCTCAACAACGTATCGCACAGCCACCGGCGTCTGCAACACATGTAAGAGAAACATAAATGTTTTTGAAAAAATGCACTTTTAATCTAAGAACCATTTTAATTTATTTTGACTTCTGAAACAACACATATTGGGGACAAAAATACATTGTCAATGTATGTAAAAGAGAATGGTATTTTTCATTCCAAAAAGCAATCTGTGTTGATTTAGTGGAAACTTGCAAGGTCTATGAGAGCAATTGTGGCTTACTTTTAAGAGGAAATTCTTTGAAAATACAACCTAAACATCTTGAGCCATACACCACAGGAGATGTGTAAACCTAGGATTTCTCAAGCAGCGTTTCCAAACCATGACCGTTTCTGTTTGCTTTTAGAAAAAACCCGCGCCACGGATCCTCCAACACCCCTTTCGCCCGCTGGCTTTCCTGCTGAGTAGGACGACGCCATCTCCCAACCGAAGGGCAGGGACAGAACTCGAAGATTCAACAACTTCTTGCTCCCACTGGTACGACCTCAAAATCGCAAACACTCACCTTGATTAATATACGTAAATGCAGATTTAAATTAAAACCAAGTTGTCCTCCACCTTCAGGTGCGACAGGTGTCCAACAACATCCTGAGCACAACAGAACGCAGGCCGTGGTCAACGACCGAGAATACACTCACTGGTGACCACATTTGGTCAATGGAACGACCACGATCTCACCTCCACGCCCTCCTCCCCCAGCATCCGCTCCTTCAGCAACGGCATCAACTGTGACGAGAGCTGTGAGCTAACCGAGCCATGCATACCCATCCCGGTTGGTTTGAATGCTCAAAAATAAATATATACATGTTGTTTTCACTTAAAAAGCTTCCAACCATAACTCTTGGACTCTTTCCTACAATCAGATTCCTCCCGGCGACCCCCGCTTGCCCACCGGCCGAAACAGCTGCATCCCTGCGTTCAGATCGGCCTCTGTTTGCGGTTCAGGATACTGCCGCCTACAATTTTGGCGGGGAACCTAAAAAGAGAGAGCAGATCAACGCGCTGACGGCCCTTCCTGGATCTGGGCCAGGTATAAACGGCTCTGATGAGCAGCTCGCCAAGAATCTCCGAGATCTCGACAGTTGACGGCGGTTTTGCTGCGCGTCAACAACCGAGTTTCAGAGACAACAGACGTGAGCTGCTTGCCCTTCCACCCTATGGGAGGCGAATATATGCGCCCACTCGCAATAGGGTCACCCAACGACACCAACAGCCATAGAGGTCCCCTGTTTCCTCCTCGCAGGTAAGTCTCTTCCTGTCACTAATGGCTCTAAAGAGGCGACATTTTAATGGCTTAATAGCTACACTATAATAGCTTAGTTAACACTTTTCCATATCACCAACCGCATTAAGGGTGATATAAATGTCTTATAAATTTTTTTTCAATACTTATAATTGTAATGCAGAGGTGGGTGTCTTATCTTGTAATTAAGTGTCCATATAAGTAAGGTATATATAAATATACTGTATAAGTATCTTGAAGACTTAACAAATAAAGTATTCACTATACAACAATGCATCATGTGTGCATTTAAATAATTTCTAGTATCAAAGAAAAAGAACATAGATTGTTTCACTATATTAAAGATATAATAACTGAGCTAAGAAAAATAGAAAGTCATTTATAGTAGAGGTAAATAATGTTCCCTTTTTTTAACCTCTTCATGCCCATGTTATGAACTATTAGGACCATGAGTGAATCATTTATAAAGCCAATATTTTTAAAAGGACATAAACACCTCTGATCAACTATCTAATGGGTACATTTCTGTCTGTAAGGTGACGCCCCGCGTGGACGAGAACATCGCTCTCACATCTATTCACACTCTGTTCATGGCGTGAGCACAACCGCCTGGCGTCGGCAGCTGAAGAGAATAAACCCGCAGTGGGACAGCGAGACGCTCTACCAGGGAGTGCCCGCAAAATCATGGGGGCTTACACACAGGTAGCAAAACCTGATGGTCACTCATGATTATATATTCCTATCCTTACAACAACATGTTTACTGAAAAGTCGACCTCTGTCTCTCCCAGTTGTTTGTGTTCAGGGACTATCTGCCTCACATTGTGGGTCCTGTTATAATGCGTAGACAGCTTGGCCGTTTACCACCCCCGGCTACAATGCTAACGTGGACCCCAGCATCGCCAACGTCTTCGCTACAGCAGCTTATACCCCGCTTCGCCCACTTGGCCATCCGCCACTCGTATACCGTCTGGATCAAAACTACAGGGAGAACTCCCGCTTACCCAGCGTGCCTTTGTACGAGGCCTTCTTCACACCCCTGGAGGGTCGTCTTCGAGGGTGAGTTTTACAGAGAGCATTGGAGTAACTTATCAAATAGAAATGCAACTATAAGTCAACCAAAAAAAAGTGTCTAAAGGACCGAAAAATACTGTCAATTTACTGCTAAAGTACTTTTTCATGCAATAATGGCGGAGAATGCTGTTTTCAGCTTCTCAAACCTGTCAATCTGTCACCCTAAACTTCTATTTAAATATCTCCAGGGGGCATTGACCCCCTGCTCCGTGGTCTGGTTGGACGTCCTGCTAACTGAACACTCAGGATCACATGATGGTGGACGCTCTGAGGGAGCGCTTGTGTCCAGTTTGTGAAGCATCTGGCTTTGGATCTCGTTCTCTCAACATGGAGAGGGGGCTGACCACGGCTTGCCTGGTACAATCCCTCACTATTGAATATCATCCTTCTCTGATGTTTCTTTCTTTCTTATTGTCCTCATCCACTATTTGCTTACCCGATGTTTTCTCCTTCTAGGCTACAACGCCTGGCGCAAGTTATGTGGCCTGTCTCAGCCAGGGAACCAGGCAGAGCTCGCTCGGGTTTGAACAACGCCGACCTGGCCCGTAAGCTGCTCACTCTACGGGACCCCCGCCAACATCGACGTCTGGATGGGAGGCGTGGCGGAGCCGTTTGTCCGTGGCGGCCGGGTGGGGCCTCTGTTTCGCCTGCCTCATCGCAACACAGTTCCAGAGGATCCGCCAGGGGGACAGGTCAGTGTTCCATGTAGATAATAACATGTGAATCACATTTAGTTCTGATTTCTAACAATCTACATGTATATATAGTGTCACAGGTTACAGTATTTTTGTTTTGTTGATGAACTGTTTCAATTGGTACATGTACTTAAATTCATGCCTATGTTGAGCATTAGATTTTCAAAATGTATACATATAAAAAAAATGTGTCTGACATAATAAATTGTATTATATATTTATATCAAATGTCATGAAAATAAATGCTTTACAAACACATGATCTGCTGACCGTAGTCTGTTGTTTGATATCATCAGGCTGTGGTACGAGAACCAGGGCGTGTTCACCCCGGCTCAGAGAGCTGCTCTGTCCACCTCCACCATGTCCAGGATCATCTGCGACAACACCGGCATCTCGACTGTCACCACCGACGCCTTCAGCGTCATCTCAAACCGCAACAGAGGTGTCAGCTGCTCCAGCATCCGACGCCTGAACCTGTCCGCCTGGAGGGAGAGGTGCAGAGGTGAAACAACCACGGGGTCCAAATTACTAATCTGAATTAAGACATTTCTCCTAACTGTATTTTTTTCATTCCGCTTTATAACCAGGTGTTTTTTTTTCTTCTTCTTGACTCTGTCTTAACCTTCTTCATATGTGGTGTTGGTCCTGCAGGTCCGGGTGATAACTGTAGAGGTGTCGGGGAAGAAGAGGTTGGTTTTAAGCACTAACATGTTGCAGTCATATTTTATAGAGCAGAATGAAGCCAAATGAAAGTTCACATTCAGATCAAGCAAACACCTGTAGTTCTTAACTTTTTGACATCTTGGTGAAGGTGTTATACTCCAAAAAAACTAAAAACATTCAGGGTTTACTGACATTTGCAAATAAATAAAAAACTCCTTAAATGTTAATGCTGTTATATTTGTTTAACTTCTAAATTGTCTGGATGTTCAGGCTGTAAAAACGACCTAGAGGAAACCCAGGGAACCCCGGGAACCCCAGGAACCTCAAGAGCCAAAGTCTCCCCAGGCACATCAGGAACCTCAAGAGCCAAGTCTCCCCAGCCACATCAGGAACCTCAAGAGTCCCAGGTTTCCCAGGAACCTCAAGTACCCCAGTCTCCCCAGGCACTCAGGAACCTCAGAGTCCAGGTTTCCCAGGAACCTCAAGTACCCAGTCCTCCCAGGCACATCAGGAACCTCAAGAGTCCCAGGTTTCCCAGGAACCTCAAGTACCCCAGTCTCCCCAGGCACATCAGGAACCTCAGAGCCCAGGTATCCAGGAACCCTCAAATACCCCGTCTGCCCAGGCACATCAGGATGTGAGGGGACTCCAGGACAACGAGGTAGTCTATTTTGTTTATTTTTACTTTGTAATACTCATCAAGTCAAAATAAATGAAAATAACACATATTTACCCAACACATTTAAAAATAAATAAACTTAACCTCAGTATCTTCATTGAAATTTCAACAATTCAATCCGTGACTGATCAATTTAAAACCATTTCCCAGGCAGTGGTCGAGTTAAACATTCTTGTGCACAGACAAATCCTCAGCCGTTTTCAATTTAGTTCTGACGGCTGAACTGAATTATCAGCCCCAGATCAGCCAATGTTTGGAAGTCAGGAACATTTGTATTTATTGATGAAAGAAATCGGCTTTAAAGGAAGGAAATCCCGCAGCATGTGCTACCAGTGAAACAACAGTGCCACAGCAAAGAAAGGAGACTGTGAATTACCTCTTTTTTTGTCATTTTTATTTAAAAAGGTGTAATTGTTCTTTAGCTATTCTAAAAGACAACGAAGAAACATCTCAAGTCTTTATGAGAGATTTCTTTAACTGAACTGTGTGTCATGTTTTATAAGATGATCTTCAAAAAAACTACTACAACAAATTATAAAAAGTACATTTATTCAAACGTTTTAAAAAGTATTAAGGTAGTAGACAAATGCAATACTCAAGTATCTCGAAAGGGTAATTAAGTACAGGTTTTGAATACATGGGGCTATGTTTCAATTCACCTCTGGATAGTTCATAACATAGCAGCAGATCATAAATGTATTCACCAAGGAAGCAGAGTAATCTATACTTGTTCCTCTGCAGATCCATTAACAATCAAACATCAAAAAAGACCAGCTGCCAGCTCTTCCCCAGCAATGCTTCACTGTCAAACTCTGCCTTCTCCGTCCGCCTGGGCGAGTACAGCCCCTCCTCAGAGAGAGTCATCCGTTTCCAAGAGGTCATCTACAACAAACCGGGCCAATACAGCACAGAGAAGGGCAGTTCACCTGCGTCAATCCCCGGTGTTTATCAATTCAGCTTTCCTCTGCAAATCTTTCCTCAGTTTCAGAAATGTATACCTGATTCGTAACAACAAGGTGGCGCTGCGCAGCTTCAGGTTTTTCTGGGAGGTCTGCACATATTCAGCAGGGGACATGCTGCTCTGGGCTCGGGGCGGGGCACAAAGTGTGGCTGGAGGCGAGTGGCGGGACGGTCGGCCTGAGCAGCCGAGAGCTACTTCTCCGGTCGACTGGTCTTTACGCTGCGTGACTCAAACGCTTCTCCTTACAGGCCGCTTCTATTTAGACCCATGGTCTGTCTGTCAAGATCTGCATTCCTCTCTGCACTGAGCTTCACTTTCCATTAATCACATCTTAAAAAATTCTATGATTTATTATTTACTTTTTTTTTATCAGTAATATGAACAAATATTGGATAGTTCAAGCAGCCTTACCAACATGAAATGTTTTGCCTCAAATCTGTTCAGATCTGTTACAGCATGCAGTCTATTGGACCAAAAATAAATCAGTAGCCAACTTTTATGATGTGATTTAAAAGTGTTTTTATTCATATTTATGACTGATAAAATGTAAGACAGTGTTATGCTTTGCTTGGCTTACTTACTGTAAGATGTTCCTGTTTCGTTTCACTTTCTATAAATAACTAAAGAGACTAAGGAGCAGAGAAATCGTTGTGTCCATGTGGTCTTATTGTCTTATTTCTGAGACATCAGTAATTATTTAATAGACATTATGTGAATCGCAAAAAAAGATAATACTACCTGTGTTGACGATTGCTAATTAATGTCACAGAGGGATTGTTAAACTGGGTAAAACTAGCTAAAACGAAGCTGAAGCTAGGACACTTTGCACCAATAACATTTTATTTATAGCAGTAAGATTAAACTTAACAAAACAGCCCAGGCTAGCTTTAATATTCAATAGACTTACTGTAAGAACAAAGGCCAGAGTGCAGTGATTATGTTAATGTTCTGTGTGCGTCCTCCAGAGGGAGCCTTCGCAAAATAAATGTCTGATTCATGTGGTGACATAACCACTTCATTCTGACAGCCAGAACTTAAGAGCAGTGCATCTGAAAAATAGTATATCCATCAAAGTCACAGTTGTTTCTATTTCTGTCTCGTAGTTAATTCTCAAGCACTTTTAAGTCAAGAGATAATTTGGCACAAAGAAATATAGTTTTCCCTCAGTCTCTTTTGTATTGTGAAACCTTCATACTAATGTCACATTCTTTCCCCTTTGTTACCTCACTTTACTCGCTAATTATTGTTTTCACTTTTATACCCGTGTTAAAGTAATTAAGGGTCACTTGTGGCCGGATCTCCCCATTTGAACTGCATATGGAGGAAGAAGGACAAACTAACATTTAAAGCTGAGGTTAGTTTACTCCAGCCCGCCTGAGCGGCACTGGAGCATGGTGAGGAAACTGGAGGTGAACTTGCACAATTACAATACAGCTCTTACTGAGAGGTGACAGTTTTAACCAGTGAGCATCTGTATTTGAAGCAAATGTTGTACAAGGGGAAGTAGCATGATTTGCTTTCTGCCAAACAGTTAGAAGAAGATTGATGCTGCTCTATTGTCGTTCTTTTAAATATGATGCTACAACTAGCAGCCAATTAGCTTAGCAAAAAACCTGCTACAGCTAGCCAGGGTCTCTCCAAGAGTGCAATAATGTGCTTAGAAGCAACTCTATTGCACGATACGTGGAATGTGTACTCTAGATTAATGTCAAATAAGCAAAAAACATTACAGACATTCTTGTAATGATGTTGCCTTCTTTGCTTTGTAGAGCAGGGAAAAACTAGTTGATTCAGTTGTCTTTCCTTTCACCAATACTATGTGGATTTACAGACTCCCTGTTTTTTGCAATAATGTGCTTAGAAGCAACTCTATTGCTCACTACTGAACAGACCACAAGTAAGCTTTTTTTATAGGGATGTCTCTATTTCTAAGTTACAATTAAGAAATAGAAATGCTCAATCTTTCTTAACTGTTGAAGCTTCTGATGGAGCTAAGCTAGCTCTTTCCGCTGCTTTCAATCTTGTGCTAAGCTAAGCTATGCTTTCAGTGTGTTCACAGCCTGCCGCCAAGTGTCCAACATTTCAGTTTAAAGGTTTAAATCTCATTGTTTCACATTGTACCGCTGACATTTTAACCACTACGAAAGGCATCAACATCCTATTCAGTGAAAAGTGGAGTTTTAAGGCTTCCACAAAAACAACAATGACTTCTAGTGTCTTAAGCCCTTCACTGTTTAGTCTGGTATTATCTTTCCAAATAGAAAGACACAGAAACATTTCTTTTTATCACTGGATTAACAGCAAGTTTTCCCTTCAGCTCTGTGGTTTTGGGATCGGCAGACATAAACAAGTTGAAAAAAATAGTATATCTGCATGAATTATTGCACAATGTAAAGTTTTCTGGGCTGTGACCTGATAAAGCGCTCCTCCTCTGCTTTTAGAGTGTACAGTGTATGTGCAGAATGCCACGTAGTCCACCAGACTCGTGTGTGGTGTGTGTTGTGTGTGTGTGTGTGGTGTGTGTGTGTGTGTGTGTGGGTGTGGTGTGTTGTGTGTGTGTGTGTGTGTTGTGTGTGTGTGGTGTGTGTGTGTGTTGTGGTGTGTGTGTGTGTGTGTGTGTGTGGTGGTGGTGTGTGTGGGTGTGTGTGTGTGTGTGTGTGGTGTGTGGTGCGCCAACAGTAATGGAAACCTAGTATTTATGAAAGAGGAGAACATATTTGAATTGTCTGTTTCTGTCATAGAGTTTTTAGCTGAGATGAACCTGAGGTTATTGCTGAGTTTTGCAAATGGATGGAAGAGTGGAAAAAGCTGTAAGGAGATCAGCAGAGGATGTAGGTCTTGCTCTGGATGTTTTCTGAGGTGTGTTTGGTCCTGTTTCACTGTGATGAGATCATAATGATGGCATGAAAATGAATAATTAAATGCAAATGCGAATAGAGAGAAAAACAAATCAGAACTGGAGAAGAAAATAATACTTAGTTTAACTGATACTCTTGCAGCTGAATTTTAGGCAACCCTCATTTGACATTTAAGCAATGAAGTTGCAGATATATTTTATATCATTATGCAGAATGTACTATGATAACTATATCTGTGTTAAATCTAAGCGTTGGCTGCATGCTTAACAGCTCAAACGTCACATCTCAAGCAACGAGACAAATGTCTGCCAGATGTTGAGTCAGTGATGGCAGGGAATAGTTGGTGTTTGTTTTATGGTAAATTTAGCATCCTCTCTCCCTCTTTACCCAATGACGTGTCTCATGCAGGAGGCCTTGTCACTATTTTCCCTCCTAGTTTGCAACCCAGACGTTCAATTCTTTCAGCCTGCTCAGAAATATCAGGAATGGAGGGTGAATTCCAGCAACGTGGACAAAAGAACTTGGCTAATTTGTTGCAGATGTGTCTCTTGAGCTTTAAAGGGGAACACTGTGCTGCCCTCGCTGGAGAGAATAAGGGCTCTGCACGTAGAAAAAAAGTCCAATGACTTACGAGCAAAAAATATCATCAATCCGGTACAGCTGGTTCTGTCTGAGGAGGAAACACGGCACCACATGCACATAGTTTTCACTTGTGTGGGCAAATTAAACCAGTGTAAGTGAGTCATCCTCAAAGGAAAACACAATTGCAATGGAAAAACAAACATAGGTGATTTATAGGCAAACCAATCTTAATTAGTAGAATGAAAATAAAACGACCGAAGGGCCAAAAAGTAACCATTTATAAAAGAGCAGTCCCATTTATTCTCAATATAGCTGTGATTTTATTTGGAAAGATTTTCGTATGACCATTTTTTAATCCTCGGGAACTGAAAATTGTGAATAAGTGAGCTTCTGGAGTCTTGTTACAGTATCACACATTTCCCTCTTATCTTAAACTCTTGAACAACTCATACACATCTGCAGGGAGGATTCTTTTTCAGGGGTTCAGATAACTCAGCTTGGCTCTGATAGGCTCTGATTGGACCTTAGAGCTTACACAACCTGAAATGTAAACTGATGTGCACCCTCCGTGATCCAAGAACAATACACATGCTTAAACTGTAATTTACAGCCTGATTTAATTTGTGTACCCTTCAATTAAAGCCATTCTCAGACTGTAAAGTATTTTTAGTCCAACTTTGGATCTTAATCTCTTTCACAGCTACTGTTTGGGCAGAATAGAGAATCATAAAAGTTCATGTATAAATCACATTGTGCTTAGAGCCCCTGAAAGCTTGGTTTATTCTGCATTTCTCCTACTAGAAATGTGCCAGATTTAAAGCCAAAGGTACCTTGTGGAATCTTTGGCCACTAGTAGTGCTTTGGGGCTACGTTTTTATGAATGGGCCCCTGTTTTGTTTGTTCTCGCATGAGCAAGACATGATACAGATTGTTGACAATGGTTTCACACTACCTGATCTACAAGTGGCAGTAATCTGCAGGTAATGGTATTCACGAGTCAGCGTTGCGTACGACAGTTGCTCAGAGCAGACCAATGCAACTTTGGTTCTATGGACCTTTAGCATTTTTCGTTACCTGAAGGCCACCGTGTTCTCCTATACGCTGGTAAAACTCAGCTAAAGCCAGACGAAATGTGTTTCTTTCGAAGTAATTTTATAGTAAGGATAGCCTGAAAGCTATAAGCGTAACGTCAACTTCGCGCTCGTTGGGAGGGGGGTGCGGAGAGGATTTCATTTAGTTGCAATCTGCACTACCATAAAAATTATAGAAGCAGGTTTCATATCCGAGTGTTGCTGCGCAGTGGTAGAAACATTTAAAAAGTAATATTTTGGTGTATATGTGAATAACTGTGTGAAAAGGACATTCCTGAAAAAGACATCATTGCCCTAAAGAACAAATAAAGGTTAATAAAAGTAATACAAACATATTTATAGTTAAATATTCCTCATACTCTTTACTTTTTTCAAATGTAGCACTACTGTATGTGCTGCATGTTTGAAATTCTAGAATTAGTTATTTCATATGAAAGATACAAGAAATCGGAAGAAATATGATAAGAAAGTTAAGTTTGCTTAAGCCACGATCATAATCCCCCACTTTCATAACATCTCTGATAAGAAAATGGTATGCAGCACTTAATATTATTGTCATCTCATCTTCCCCCTATAGTGTCTACCAGGATATGGGACCCTTTAATTGATCTGTCTGTCAATACTTCATTACTTTTATGGGACTTCTATTATTTGTTTTGGTAAATATACATAACAGCACAGTTAATCATGGTTGTAACATTTTAATCCAATTGTTGCATTGAAGTCCTAAACTAATGGGGTCAATTATGGAAGAACGATTTTCCTAGTTTGCAGAGGGAAATTAAAACCGTAGGTTAGGTTTCCCAATCCATGCATTACAGCTCTGGTGTTAACAGCAGGGCGGTGATTTGACTGGGCTGCAGCAAATGAGCTGCCCTCATCAGGAGAGGGGTGTGGGGTCACCAGCCTGCCACCAGACGCACAAGTGCAGATCAAATATCACCACAGCCTCATTTTGTTTATTGCTCAGAACAAAATGATTATGACCTTATAGAAGATTACTGTGAGACGCATGTGATGAGTCTTTCACATCCTCAGCAGGGCTGCAGCACAGACAGCTGGGCGGAGGGAGTTTGTGGGAGACGTTTTCCCAGAAGAAAACTGAAAATGATGCAGGACCATCAAAGATTTCCTGTTTAGGTTTGTCAGATCCGCTATGAAAAGTGCAGTGCATCAGACGTCTGGCAGAGGGGTGCTGCAATTTGGTTAGGAGTTCACCCAACATCAAGGGAAAAGCTATCTATCATGACTTTTTGTTGATCTAGCAGACAAAGAATAAATGAGGACAATATACAGACATTTATTCCGAGCACAATTATATAAAACCATGCATCATAACAAAGTGGGAACATCATCATCTTTGTGTCTGTTTTTCTCTAGCTGTTTTGATTCAAATATGCATCTGTTCATCTTGTGAGGGAGGAAAAGTTTGACTGTCTTTTCACTGACACAACCTCTCAGAGATAAGAGCCGTTGATCAACCACTTTTGGCTGGACATGATCACAACACCGCTATCCGTTAGGTGGTTATCTGAGCAGCAGCATCATCAGACTTGTTGTAACAAATTCAAAAATGCTGAACCTCCTCCTTCTCCTCATCATCATCCTGCAGGAGCAGAGCGATATGACTTTACACGGATACATTTAAACTGCCTCTCTGCTCATTGATATCCTTCAAATGGAAAGGAAGATATTTAAAAAGCAAGTTGCAACCCTGGTTTATTATTAAGTAGTCGTGTTGTCCCATTAATCGCGCGTTAATACAGATCACAATGGGATTACGCACACTTGCACGCCACTTTACGCATATGCGTGCGTCTACATTTTGGTTTCCATCCTGCAAACTGGCACATCTCAAACAATCCGGGGACTCAACAGGAACAACCAGAGAGCGGGCTCTCCGGCAGACACTACAGTGGGCCCACAACGTAAGGTGTTTAGCATTTTAAAGCCAGGGTCGCAGTACCAGCCTGGGAGGCGCAGGGGCGCCAGCGCAGCAACAAGTGCAGGCGCAACCTCTCACCATCATCCGAGATGCGGACGTGACACACTCAGGACCCCCGGAGCCAGCCGGCGGCCGCGCAGTCCCCCGGGTCGGCGTCCAGCCCACAAAGCCCCCGCGGGCTCCCGCTGGGGCCGCTCCAAAGGCTCGCAAGGGGGCACGAGCACCGCCAGCATCACCGTGACGGGGCCGGTGAGCGCACGGGGACGCAGAGGAGCAGCAATGAGACTCAGGAAAAGCCCAGTGTCAGTCCGCCTCTGCCCCGAGAGAAGACATGGATGGTGGGTGGATGATCCATACGACCCTTACAAGTCCACCGATCATAATCACTATGACGTGTATGAAGAGACCGAGGCAGAGATCGAGATCCGGATATGGCACAAGGAATCACACCAGTACGTGTAAGAGTTCCCAAAACAAAAAATGATTTGATAGATATATAACCTATAAAGAGGAGTTTAGGATCCTTTTTGTCTGTGTGTGTTTGTTTGTCTATCTTGTGCATCTGTTAACGTGCTTGCTGTATGAAACATTCATTCAGATTTAGATTTATGCTTGATGTACCCCTTTTGTTTTTTTACTGTGTTCAGGTCTGCCTGATCTGGTACCTGACCCGCACTACATTCAATCCTCTTCTTATGTCCAGAGAGTCCCAATGTACAACCTGAGATGTGCATCTGAGGAGAACTGTTTGTCAAGGTACACTTCTGTCAGGACTAATCCACAGAGACAGAGAGAAAAGACAGGGTTTGCATCCAAGTCTGAGTGATTCAGAGACATATGAGCCATAACGACTGCTTTAAGTGTTTTTGGGTGAGGTCTGCAGTCAGTGGAGCCATAAGATGAGGTCAAATTAACCCTGATGGCGCATACTGGTGGGTGGTGGAGGATTTCTGTTTAATCATAGTTTTCCCTGAGGAGAAAGCCCAAATGGTAAACACATTATCGAAAGCTTAACCAAACAACCACGTGCCTACAGACTGTTTTTCCACCCACCATAGACGGCTTTCACCCAGAAGGGATCTAGCGGGAAAAACAGTCTTAATGACTTCTATCAACGTATGATTTGTGTTTTCTTCTTCTGTGTGCCTGCAGCTCGGCCTATACAGGCAGTGTGAGAGATTATGACACCCGCATGCTGCTGAGGTTTCCCCAGAGAGTGAAGAACCAGGGGACAGCAGACTTCCTCCCCAGCAGGCCACGTTACACCTGGGAGTGGCACAGCTGTCACCAGTGGGTATAACGTCATGTCCACCTCACCATCAATCACAGAGAGACTTTTACATCCTTTGTTCTCACTGGCCAACATGCTTAAATCAAGAGATGTGTCTGACTCAGATATAGACTTATTGCATTGCTCATATGTTTTTCTCAAGAGATTGAATTTGACACACATCACTCTTTTTAACTCTTTGTTCTTTCCAATTTATTTGTTTTTTTTCCACTGTATTTTTCCAGTCTGTAGTTGAGGTATGGCACCCCCTGTTGAACCACAGTTGTTACTTTTGGCTGTCTTATAGTTTTTGTAAGCTTTTTTATCGGCTTATCACTTTTCATATCAGAGCTTTTATTATAGGTGTCATTTCGTATTAATGCAATCTCAGCATGAAGGCAGTCAAACACACCTTTTAAAAGATGCACTTCATATGACCTTCAATTCACTTAATTTACAGCTGCAAAGCCAGATGTTGTAAAATAAAGTAGTGCGATGAGGATAATGAGCCAGAAAGAGGAACCGCTGCTTTCCTTATTGAGCTTATGGAAAGCTGCCTAGTTTTCCTTGATTCCTCAGAAACTACCTCAGCCCATAGTTATGTTGTGCAACAACCAGTCCACTGCGCTGATTCCCGAAAAGGAGCGCATTTGGCAGAGATCCAACACACTGCTGATGTGGACTGTATATATTACTTGTCAGTGTTTTGAAAGTAAACTTGTGCTAAAATCCAGACTGTTATGTTGTCATTAAACAAACTGTCTTTAACATAATAAATAAATATATAATAAATAAATAACATAAAATAAGAAGTGGAAGTAAACTCAGATTCACTGCGGTGTAACTGCGCTCATGAACAGTCTCTGGTGGGTCTCGACTAACAGTGTCTGTTTGTTTTTATAAGTCCCAGATTGATGTGGACCTCCTTCGCTTTACATTAAAAATGAACCCTGCTGATCCACAGGCACTTCCACAGCATGGACGAGTTCAGCCACTACGAACTGCTGGACGCCTCCACCCACCAATCGGTGGCTGAGGGCCACAAGGCTAGCTTCTGCCTGGAGGACACTTCCTGTGACTACGGCTACTACAGGAGATTTGCCTGCACCTCACATAGACAGGTCAAAAACATTCCTGCAAATGTTTTTTTAAATGTTGCAGACTTTTAAACTGAAATGTTTCTTTATTAGCAAAGTATTACTTGACTTTTTTATGAACAGGGTCAGTGGGTTCCTTTCCCATGGAACATGATATGGCACGTATGGAGCCAGTTAGCTCCTGTAGAGCAAGAACAATGTAATCATGAATTACAGTCATCGTGCACACTGCATAGACAATCTAACATGTAACTAACCAAGAGTTATTGCCATGGTTGAAGTCTTTATAAACACCCCTGGAGAAGCATTTATTTTAATGGCTACACTTGTGTACCCTGCACTGTGTTGCTTGATTATTATTACAACAGGATTGAAAGGACCCCAATGACCAAAAAACTGTTGTACATCAGACTAGCATATGGGTGTAAAGATAAGCCTTTTCACTGCATATATTTGGACTTTTCATCGTACGAAAAGCGATTATATACATTTCTAATGATACAAACATAGTTACATGCTCCTCTGATGGTCCAGCAACAGTTGGGAAGACATTCTTCCGACTTCGGTGTGCTCTTTTATGTTGTATTGTAGGAAAAAGATTTAGTGAAACTAGCGTTGCATTCCCTTTAACCACAAAAAATATTGCATTACCTTACTTCTTATTAGTGGTAAGGCTAATAAAAAACGATCTCTATGTGGAAAGGAACCTACAGTAACAACCTAATACCATATTAAAAAACATGTGAGCAAAATAGATATGCAACATCATGGGAATTAACAAAACATTTCTTACTATCAACCCAACATTTGCTTTTGTCTGGTGACGCAAACTTGGCAGGACCAACTTTTGGAGTTGTTGTTCTGACTTGATGTCACGTTCACATAAATTGTCCCAGTTGGGAACTGATATTAACGATTGTTCCGACACCACATGAATGCAACATGTGTCGCAGTAAGCCAGGACAGTGAGCCAGCCCTCACAATAACAGGACGGTGGAACTGAAGCAGCTGCAGCACTTCAGATTACATTTATTTGATTATTTACTACGGTACCTTCTCTGACATATCAAAATGTCTTCTGGAAAAAGGCCTATTTGTATTATGAAAGTTGCAAAACAAAATCCACTTCACATCAAGATGTATAGCTATAGGAAATAACTTTAAATTATTTTGATGCCATGTTGCACATTCACATTTCCATTTAGTGTCGGTTCAGACCAAATTAGAGGATGATGACTTCTCATTGACAGACCCTGTTGCATGGTTTTGGTTCACAAATCTCTGTAAAGCAGACTTGAACTTAGAAAAACAAATGATCTTTTAGTGAGGCAGCTGTCCTGTAAAGAACCATTTTAATATTTCCTTTTTGCATGACCCAGTCATATTTCAATGATTTCCTGTTACTGGCGTATTACTTATTCTTCCATTCTCTTTTAATATTTTGCCAAGCTGACTTCACTATTAATGTATTATTTATCTTTATCATAAAACGTAGATGTTGTACTCTTTTAAAACAATATAATCTTTGTTACAGTTACCGTTATATATACACAAAGCCCTCACATTGTTTAAAAAGTTTGTTTATACGATGTTTTCCGTGGATGCTGTCCAACATGCAGGGTCTGAGCCCAGGATGTTATGATACCTACAACGCAGACATCGACTGCCAGTGGATCGACATCACAGATGTGAAGGCTGGAGACTATATCCTGAAGGTTTGTCAGAAATACCAGATGACATTTATCTGCCTCGCGAGACATCTGACCCATTTGAACAGTTACACTTGTGTGGAATCACCTTGAATCCTTGAATATTTGATCGGAAGTCTTTGTTTGTTTATTTATCTTTGTTGCTGTGTTACTTCTTGCCACAGATCAGTGTAAATCCCAACTATCATGTCCCAGAGTCAGACTACAGCAACAACGTTGTGCGCTGTACTGTCCAGTACACCGGCAACTACGCCCACGTCTCAGGATGTCACCTGTCATCGTGAGTAGCAAACCCTAAGTAACATTTATGGTTTTGATATTTCTTCAGCAGAATGAGAATACCTTTATTTGTCCAACAGAGGGGAAATGTACATTTGTTACAGCAAGTTAAAAGCCAAAGATAGCTTAATATCACTCAAGATGCCTGCATACAAATATTAAAAGATAAAACTAGAAATTACACGATTTACAAAATACCCATCCAGTAGCAGTAACAGTTTATCGATATAGCAGCCAGGTGAAAGTATTAAAGCATTGTATCCTCCATCAATCCTCATCATGATTTTATTCTTTTTTTCTCAGGTATTAAGAGTCCTTCACAGCAACTCAGCGAGATGTACTGTAATTGACAATGCAGAGGACTGCATATAAAACAACACGAAATACATCTTAATAATACATTTTATCATTTTTAAATACTCAACATTTTTTAAATAAGGACTATCCTACGTCATTGTGCCAGTAAAACGTTTTTCTCCACACTGATAGGTCTATTCTTATCTCCTATTTCTCTAAACATGTTTAAATGTCTTACTTATTTTGCATTGTACTGTATTCTCTGCATTTTATACCACTTGTAAGATCGTTAAGGAATTAAATCCATGATATTTAGAAGCTTAGCAAGTTAAAAATGTAAACCAGTTTACCCTTGTTGATAATTCAACATGAATTATATCACTATTTTGAAATGAACTGTAAAGGAAAATGTATTTGTATATTTATATGCAATGGATGAAACTCTCTTTACTCCAAAGCTTTTGTTGAAACTGAGTTGAATAAAACGTTGTGACACTGTATCGTTGTTGTGGACTCAACAGTCTGAAGTTATTTCCCTGTCTTATCTTTGTGTCTTATTTTCTTAATCACACATTTTGACACCCAAAATAGCCTAAAAAAGCTGGAAACTACAAAAGATTCAGATTACATTTGAATAAATCCAATAAATCATTACAAGTTCACAAAGCCCATGAAACATTCTCATGTGATTATGCCGCCCAGCAGTATATAACGCAGTTACATTTAGCTCCACCTTTGAAAGCTGCAACATTAAAGTGATAAACATATCAGCATTTTAATTAAATAACAAGTATTTATAATGGTGTATAATGGTGCATACTGCATACATAAAAACAGTTAGAGGAACATAGCTATTGTAAAAAAAACATTTAAAAACTATTACCAGTATTAAAAAGAAAACCACTCCAAATGTAATCTGTTATATAATCATTGTATTACGTTTTAATATATATATATATATTTATATTCTGTGTAAGTATTGTCTTTAGTCTTTTTAATGTTATAACGTTTTTTTTATTATTTTCTTTTGATAACTGCTCTATTTTTGATCTCTTAAAACGTCCTTATGTTGTGTTTATCATTGCACCAAAATACACCAAAGCAAATTCCTTGTATGTTTTTTTTTTGGTTCTGAGTTTTATCATACAGTCTATGGTTTTATCTAAGAATTATTTGAAAAAAAACCTAAAAAAAAACCTTTTGGTAAGATAAAAAAACAAAATGTGGCCCTCATTCGCTCACGTGTGTATTGAACAATGTTAAATTAAAAACAAGAAAAAAATAAAAAATAAAATCAGAATCAGTCCCGGCAGTGTCCTCCGGGCCAACAGGGGGCGCCTCTGAGGCTCCATGTCGTTTGAATCCTTGGATTTTCCTCAGGCTGCTGGAGAAACTGGAGTCCACCACCAGCAGTGTGAGTGTGTGTATGTGTGTGTGTGCCATACGATCAAAAAATTACGTGGAAAACTGTTCATTTCTCAAGTTAAAATGCATCCAGTGAGAGTGTCGATCCCTTCGTTTCGTTCCGAAAACAACTCGATCGAGAAAGGATACACGGTAAGCTGCTTAACAAATAACCTCTCTCTCTGTGTGTGTGTGTGTGTGTGTGTGTGTGTGTGTCTGCCTGCCCTGCTGCTGTCATCACTTTTCATTTTTACTCGCATGTTATTTCTCTTCCCTCGAAATAATTATCAATCGTCTGTTTTATAATCAAGCTAAAAAGTAAATGTCGCTTTAATATAAGCTTTCCTGTCTGTTTTGCTGCAACGCATTGAACTCGCCTTGTTTCTATACACTGCAAACATGTCAGAGTACAAATCAGTTCAAATTGGGATTATTAGACAGAGAAAACTTAACCTGCTGATTTTAGAGACGTTTTGGCAGAAATGTGTGTCTTAGTTTATCCAAACACACCCAGGATCTCCAGCTGTCTGACATAAATACAGACTGATATAAGTAAAGCAGCAGACCTCAATTCATTACAAAGCAAACCCTCAAAATAAAGTGTAAAGGCACTCTTTAAAATAATATTCACTGACACAAATTCCACCTTTAATAGATATACCAGAAATTAAGTGTCACATATAAATGAATAAAAGACAGGTCACTCCCAGAAACTGAGATATACTGACTGATCAACCTCAAAAAACATTTCAGCCTACATTTCCTATAAATGCCCTCAATAGTATTTTCTTTAGGCCTCCCAAACTCCCATGTCTTTCGACGTCCATGCCTCATATCCCAACAGACTTTAGTGCAAACTTTCTGTGATTAATTATATCCATTTCCATCACTTCATCTGTACTGACCAGATCTTAGTGCCCTCTTTCCCCGGAAATGTAAAGGATTATTTTGGCAACATTTTTGGAAAAACACTTATGTGCTATCTTTGAGTCAGACCAGATGTCGGTTTACCTGTTTCCATACTTTATGCTAAGCTAAGCAAACCAGCTGCATATTTACGAGACAGACATGAAAGCTGAATTAATCCTCTCGTCAAAGTCCTGGCAAGAATACATATTTCCCAAAACGTTGAACTATTCCTTTGAATTCTGTATCCATTCATCTGTTTTTATAAGATGCGTGCATACACACTGAGGGTGTTTCTCAATGTCGAGGACACTTCCTTGGTAGGACATGTCTTCCGGGTCACTTCCTTCAGAAGCGAGGCAAGAATCCTTCCTAGCCTCGGAAAACGAAGAATGGTGGAACAGGTGTGCGTAATATGCGAGGCCCCGCCTTAAACGGAGCGTGATTTCCGCCAAAGATTTGGAAATTGGTCCGGATATATATATAGGCAGAGCTCCCCGTTTCTGACGTCAGAACAATTTCAAATCTGTATCAGCTCCGTTGCAGCCCCGTTTTTAGAGATTTGGGTATGGAGGAAAAGAGAGGGTTGTGTTTTCTGACACTTGGTGAGTTCCCTGACACACCGGGGACACATATTCATGTATAAAAGATGTACACAAGTGCATTTTGCATGATAGGTCCCTTTTAAATACATTTTATTTGTGTAGTTTGTCCCAAGGTGTGAGAGACATTGCTTTAGGACCAGTGGGTTCTCAACTGGTTGGGTCGCGACCCAAAAGTGGGGTTGGGTTTTCAGCATGTCATATTTTTCATGTGTGGGTGAATTTGAAGGATTGGCTCCAAGTCTGCCTTTTTATTGAGTACAATAAAGTGTGCATTTTTATGTATACAGTTCATATTACAGCACGATTTTTTGTTGAATAGATTTTGAGTGGGTCAAAATGTTTGGGTCGCGATTTATTGAACAAAGGAAAAAAGTGGGTCCTGAGGCTTGACCAGTTGAGAACCACTGCTTTAAATACAGTGTCAGCAGTTTTCCATCATTTATAGTAATGCTGACAAGAAGAGCCAGGGGAGGAAGTAGAAGACTGTTAGGGATGTTTTCAGCTATTCTGTCAGTATCACATTTTTAAAAACAGACAAGATGTTCCTCGTGGTAACACGCTGACACCACAGTTACTGACAGCTCTACACTCACACACGCGCGCACACACATTGGCAGCGCAGGGTGGGGGCCATTTTGGTCTGATGAGCTCTGGTGAGTATTCAGGATTCTCTCAACTGACTCACCAACACAACTCACAACTTTTCTTTCTTTCAGGTCTTCAGAATTGACGTGCTGATGAACGGCAGACAACATGCTGTCGAGAAACGCTACAGTGAATTCCACACGTTTGCAATAAAATGGTGAGTTCAGTGCATCCCCAAAGTTACTGAATATTTATTAGTTGAAGTGTCAACAAAGTTCTCCTTTCTTATCAAATTCAAATGAAATGTTCAAGTCTTAACCTTAGTCTTTAATGGGCGAACAAATATTTATCATTGACATATTAACCACCACATTTGATGCTTTTTTGCCAATAACACATTCATATATAATTGAATACATATTGTTTTAATAATTGCTATGTTTGTAAAATGTAATTTTCTTAAATGTTTTATGTGAGGGACTGCGGATGGAAATAGCTCAAAGCTAAATCTGGCACTGTTACGCTTGACACATTTGAATGTTTTAAGTGTTCATTACTGTGGCATTGTCCCTGCCAAATAAAACGATTAAATAAATAAATAATATATGTATAGCATAACTTGTAAAAAGGACTAGTCAGTTAATGAATTGCGATTTGTTTTCTTTTATCTGCAATTTTAATATGACAATTCTGGGCTTTATGATCTTCCATCTTTAATTGCTGGGATAATTTTTTTGAAAAACCAATAAATGAAATACAACACAACTTGATATACATAAACCCATTAAAACTAAAATATGTAATACATTAGTCTGCAGAGAACATGCTTATTTACTGGTGTTAAATTCTGTGCACTGTACGCAGGAAGTCAGTAAATCACAGCAGCAAATGAATACAATGATGAATGCTGTTCTGGTGGTTAACTCATTCACCATAGCACTTTGTTTGAGGTTATAGCTTTACAGACAAGTTCCTCTTCCTGTCTGGCCATTAGTCGACAGGTTGTTTGATTTTTGGATTTCAGTGCAGCCCACTGTTAACATGTGAAACGTTCAAAAGCATAGTGGTAAATAGTCAAATGAATTATGGCTGGTTTCCATTTAGCCGCTTCCTGATATTGGGCATGCTGGTAAGGAAACCACCATCAAAATATTAATACCCTTCCACACTGCAAACGTTGCTATAATTTTGGTTAGAAATATTCTCCTAACAAATCAGATCAATGGACCCATATCTACTGCAAATTTGATAAGCAGCCACTTTATGGAAGTCCTGAATTTGATTACTATTGATTTCATTCAATAGTTATGAGAGGGAGACTAATCTACAATTTGTTATTATAAGTCAGTGTGACAAAGGCTAAAGGACCTTTTTTGGATGTGGAGAGGGACATTAATGAAGGGAAAACATATACCATGCATTTTTTCCCCACACATCTCAGGAAACGCCAAAATATGTCATTTATAATTCTCTTTCTTTTTGTGACCCTCCAGCTAAAGAAGAGCATAAAGCCGCCTGAGATTGCCCTCCCAAACATGTAAGAAACTGGGTTCCTAAAGTCCTGGAGCAGCGGAGGCTCGGTCTGGAGCTCTACCTGCAGGTAAACACCTCCACCCCTACGGCTCTATGAAAATAAAAGAAATAAGACCATTTTAAGAAGAGTTTTAAGAAATGAAAGTACCTGCTCTACTGTACAGTACAGGACACATGATGATGACACATGTGACATGATTGAGGTCTAATCAGCATGTTTACAGAAATATGACACCAACAACTGAAGCCTGTTAGGGAATAATAAGATTGAGTTAAAAGGAAACTCTTCAAATGATTCCCATTAAGGTGTTTTTTTCCTGAAAATATGTGTGCTGTTAAAGCATGGATGTAATGCAGCAGATTCAGCTGTAATACATATTTTGTATACAAATAAAGCTGACTTTTGATTATTTTTAAAATCCTTGTTATTTAATTAAAGGGGGACCTATCATGCAAAATGCACTTTTGTACGTCTTTTAAACATGAATAGGTGTCCCCGGTGTTTCCAGGGAACTCACCAAGTGTCAGAAAACACAACCCTCTCTATTTTCCTCCATACCAAATCTCTAAAAAAGGGGGCTGCAAACGGAATCTGATAAAAACTGATCCAGATTTGAACACTGTCCTGACGTCAGGACGGTGGCACTACGGCTATTGGGCCAACTCCACCAATCAGGAGGAGACAGCCACGGCCATTGCCGTTCGAAAGCGCTGGAGACGCTGTAGTACATATGCCAGGGCCTGTAAGTGGCGCTGTAGTCTGCCACAAAAGCAGCGAAGAAGACTTCCCGCCCATAGTTACCATGGTTACCCTTCTGTTTATTCTCCGCTGTGGCTTTCTTTCTCCCTCCCCGAGGCAAGCGTTTGCTCCCGCTGCTTTAATTCAATGCAATCCCTCCCGTCGAGGCAAGCACTGTAATTCTCTCCGGTTAGTCCACCAGCAGATGACAACACCCACCTCTCCGCCTCTTCCAAGGAACGAGGGGACCGTGCGGCAGAGTTTTAGTTTCAGTTTGTTTCGCCGGTCAAGATGTCCGTTAAAGTTGAAATCTTCCGGACAAAATTAGAAAAGTGCCGGTCAAAGGTGGTCTTTGTTATTTATTGAGCTTTAAAACAAATGAATAACCACTCTATATAATAAAACACGGAGGACGGAGATCTCTTTTTCTCCCCCTCTTCTGACAGCCCAGCAGCTGATCAGAGCACGGCTCCCCTCTCCTGCAGGGGGGCGTGGTCAGCAGAATCAGACCCGTAGATAGCAAACAGCACATAGAGCGAAATGAGGCATGGCTAAAATGCATGATCTGTTTGGTATTTTCAAAACAGAAACGTATAAATATACCTTATATAGGTATGGCCCTACAATATATCATTTAAATATAGCAGGTAGCAGATAGGTCCACTTTAAGTATATCTGTGGTATTATGTTTGTGTACTGTAGGTGTCGGAGAGTCTACAGATGTAGTCTATCTGAAATGAAAAGTAAAAAACATTATAGATGTAGGGAGGTTAAAATAAATTCAAATAGTTTTCTTCAAAAGGTCATTCAGGTTGCTTTGGTTGTTTACAGCTGTTCATGTGCTTTTGTTTTGTCTCTTTTCTCAGTCTATAATTATGGAAAATGGAGTCCTTCCAAAGGTATTCCTGGATTTCCTGAATATCCGACATTTTCCTTCAGTGCCAAAAACAGAAAGCTGTGGTGAGTTTGAAGGCTGTGGAATGAAAGACCATTTGTATTCCTTTTTTTAAACTGTGTAAGAGTTTGTTACCATACCACTGGAAGGGCTGTATTGGCTTAGCTTGTATTTTTCTTCTCTCAGGTCGTTTGATACAGAATCAGAGGAATCAAGGTGAGCCGTATATAAATATATTGTTTGTAGCCGCAGGTCAGAGTCACTATTTGCTCTGCTGTTGAACTTCACCCAGCATGTCACTGAAACCACCTGCCTTTCGTCATCGTGTTTATCTGCTGCTTGTAGCCGCCCACAAACCCTCTGACTTCTCTTTTCTTTGTTTTGTTTTTCAGTAAACTTTCACATCAGCCAGTCCTGCTGTTTCTGAGAGACCCCTACCTGCTGCCGTCTGCTCACGGCGAGTTCAGGCTGCTATCCTTATATACCTCTGCTTTATCATTCTTATAACATAGTTTATTTAGGTTGTCATCAAGTTATAGAACTCAAATAAATAAAAATTATAACAAATATTAATAATTTTGAAATAGTTACAAACCAAATGTTTATAGACCTGCCCTTTTTAGATAATTGTATTAATACAATGCACTTTAAATGTTTACAATGCAATGAAAGAAAGAAACTCAAATAGAAGCGTATAACATGTTCCAAAAAAGCCAAACTAAAATCCGTATACAGATTTGATCATCTTATTAAAATAAAAGTGATTAAAGGAATAATGCTTAAATATGCAAATTCCTTTTACTTGATACTGTCTCACTCTGCTTTGAAACACTTTCTTAATGCAGTCTGGAAACATCTTGTTAATTACCTTATACATTAATTATTCATTATAATTGTATTCACCAAATCTATACATTTGTGAGTTTATATATACCATGTTGTTATTGTTTAATGATCGCCAGTTCTGTTTACAATTGTTATAATTCTCTTCTCTGTCATAGAAATCAGATTTTCGATGTTTTTTAAAACCTCTGCACAGTAAATAATGTTTGGAACTATACAATAATTGTATAATTGAATTTAGATATTTAGGGAATGTATTTCGTTTTTTCAGGAAATGTTGCAATAGACAGTTTGTGGTGGATTAATTTACTGTCAAACAAATCTTTTTAGTAACAAGTGGACATGAGCTTCTTACTTACTTACATGCTCTTACCTTTTTTATATTTTTAACTTTTCTCCTATTCTTTCCTTTCAGATGCATTTTCGAATGTGGTGATTGAAGGTGTGGTGCATGGAGTTTTCTACCCAGATCTTCAACCCAGGTAGAGCTGCAGAGCTGATCTGAGAACAGCAGGAGCTCATCAGGAGGGACGTTACATGTTAATATAACTGAGCCGCATTTTCAAAACATAAACTAAAAATCCATACATTTCTTTTCTTTTATAGATAAAACACCAACACCAGTCACCATGAAATAAAGAAAAGCAATACTGAGCAATATTTGAATGGATTTGGAATCCTGAGAAAACAATACAAGCAAACACTTTTAGTCAGATATAATTGTAACTATAAGTGAAACTAATTAAAAATTGAAATGAAAAGAGGAATTAGGGATTATTTTCCGATTATAGCATAAAATGTACCTCATATTTTAATGATTTCTTTACAAGGTATTGATAAAAAATAGGATAAACTGAACATAGAGATAAGAGGCAGATCAAAGAACGTCAAAGAGTGTTTTCAGCACATAAATAGAAGCTGAAACTCTGGGGACGGAGATGCCAGCTGGACTAAAGTTTTCCAGACAGAGAGGAGGCTGTGAGCACAAACACAGGCTGGAGTGTGGAGCTGGATCACGGCCTGCCAGCAGAGAGGTGCCACTCCCTTCAGAGAACCATGGCTGTGGTTTCTGACTTCGTTCTGAACCGCCAAATGAGTGAGAGCAGGGCAGCAGCTGGAGTGTGTTTGTGTGGGAGCTGACAGCTATGTGCCACATGTTAGGGTGGAAATACTTGGAGTTGTGATGTGGACCTCGTTTATTAAACATCAGAACTGTAGTGTTGACGGTGGTAATAGTAGAGAAGCAGCTCAGTGAGGTGATGTAACCACAACAGACAGAAATATGTGGCACCGCCTGTTAGCACTTCACTCCTATGCATTGTCAGAATAATGATAAATAATCAAAGCAGCAGAACCAGAGAAATATCTTCTTTATTTCACGATTTCTTCTTCCCTTCCTGGCACCTACATTACCCACAATGCAAAGCAACCATTGGCTCTTTGGTCGTAGATTCAGGTAGCTTCAGCTTGTGTTTCCTCTTGATAATCAGAGATCTGTGAGCTCACTTCTGTCTGACCTCCAGATTCTGTCATTTTCAGATTTGTAGTCCTCAACCCAACGTGGATAAAAGTGAGGGGATTTTTCAGATTGGCCACAGCTCTCTGGAGCAACTAAACGCCTTAAACAACGTTTTTCACTTCTGCAGTGTTACTCCCCTAGACCTGTGAACAGACCTCGGTGTGTTAAATTGGTGGAGCCCCCCCCCCCCCCCCCTCTAGGAGAAGATAAGGACAGACTTAAGGGTGGTTCTTCATTTCAAATGTGTGCATCCTTCTGGGCAAATATGTTTTAGAAAAGAAAAACATTTGACCTGAGCCTCTTTGAACAAATAACAGGGTGTAAGCTGTTTGTTGATGTCCTACAGCACATGCCAAACCTAAATACAACATTTACATTTGTTCCAGTGTGTGCAAATAATATAAACAAAAAACTATTTGTAATCAAAATGCTTCTTGTAGAGCCTGTTTCTCATTAGTTGTATTGTCCCCAAACATAAACTAGCTGCAGACACATTTGCAAAAGGTCAGTATGTGACACTAAAACAGTCATGTTCAGTTTAATGTTGAACTTACACTATATATATATAAGGCCAGTTTAACACTTGTGGTGATTAGAGTCACCCATCATGCAAAGGGAAAGCATTTTTAAAATGAGAGGTGGTGATTTAAAGGACTTAAACCAGTAAAACACTGCAATATTAAAATAAATACAGATTGTCTTGATATACTTTCTTGTGATGTACAAACCATCTGGACACTTGAAACGACTCGTAGCTTTTGTGAAACAATATGTTGCACGTCGCTTTTTGTGCAGTTATCGATGACACTTTGTGATGTGACTGGACCTCCACTACAGCACAGTAATGACTACATATTTATACTGAATGGAATGAGCATTAACCTCAACTAAACAGAACATGATTTTATGTTTTAACAAATAATTTCCTAGAGATCCATCCTGTGGATTTATATATGTATTTATATTGTGTAACATTGTATTTGTGCTCTGTGAAAAGTGTCATTTATGTGCCATAATGTCAACCTACAGTGAACACTGGAATTACTGTAGCACTTTAAGATGCTCGACATGTAAGATACTGACACCAATAAAAATAATTATTTCCACAAAACCTGTGTATCAGACTGACTCATTAAGAAAGAAACATTCAATGTATTGCCACAAGCTCTTTATTAGAAAAATGACTAGAAAAGGCTGCCGATTGATAAGCAACAATTGTATTTCTGTCAGTCAGTCTCACATTACAGGGTTAGCAAACAAATATATTCCCTCAAAACAGAGTAAACCTCTGCGTATCCTACTGCATACTTTAATTATGAATCTGCCAGAGTTATTTAAATAAGATCTCAGAAATAACGGGAGGAGTTATAGACTAAACTGATCCTGTTATCGTCAGGAAGTTCGTAAATCTGTCCCACGTTCAGTAACATTCTTAATAGCTCATCTTATTTAAATTGTGATCCTCCAGCAGCTCATATATTGCACTAAAGCATTTTAAATTAATTGTCAATTGTTATTGTTGGTCATGTCACCCAGCCATAATTGCAATTATAAAAATTCTTAAACAAAATGAAACAGGAAATGTAATCTTGCACAGAGACGCAGCGTTATCTGTTAATAATCAGCGTTTTGTTTTTTGGCGACAAAAGAAACGTCCACTGTATAAATTCAGACTTATAAACAAATGCTATAATAAAATACTGGCTTGACAATACGAAATAATCGGAAATGCGAAATATTTCAGAAGCATATAAAATTAGCTTTGATTTCCGGGCAGCGACGTCCCAGTAACAGTCCGGTAGTAACCACACACTCCTGTTGTGTGATCCAGCCATTCAAAACAGTTCGTCCATCCCAGCCTTTAAAGTTCTCCATGACCGACTTCATCTTTCAGCGGATCGTCCTGGTTCCCCTCGGCCTGGGGCGCCTTCATGTTGGCGAAGGCCACTTCTCTGGTCAGCTGTTCCAGAGGAGGGAGGCCCACCGCCAGGTTCCTCAGAGCGATGGCTGTCATCAGGAGGCTAAAGGGGGTGACGGAGATAATGAGACACCATTACAGAGAAATGTAGTTTGTGGTTGTCCAATTTTATGTGAAAAGACAAGAATTTATTGGTTTGTTTTTCATACGCAAAAACATTGTAACAGGCCACAATCACTTGACACAGATTTTGTAGCAGCAACTCTACAACTCAAAATCAAACTGCTGCCAAATCTTACACAGGATTAAGTCCATTGTCCAGGCAGGAATCTTGTTTTTCCTGTTTATTTTCTTTAGGTTTCGCCAATCAAATATACAACAAATAATGGTTTACATCCTTGCTTTCCCTGGTAAAATAAATAATCTTTTTTTTGGTGCCTACTCACTCCTCCACCTGTCTCTAAAAAATCCCCAAATCCCCCTGTGCCTGGTGCTGCCTTCAAAACAAATGCATGAACACATTCCAAAATTAACTTAGTAATTACACTACACAATGATAAAATGTGTATATATACAAAAAAGCATCTAAGTAAGTGTTTAACTAAAAATGGAATAGTTCCAACAGATGTAGTTTTTTTTTTGCTAGGGCTTATTTGCGACCGCTGTCCCTGGTTAGACTTTTCTATCATCAGATAAATTAAGCACTTTATTCTGATACATGATCATACAAAAATGTCAATATTTCTATCATGCTACACGTGTTGAGTGAGTGATTGTGGCAGAATGTTTCTGTCCAGTCAGAGGAGGACACTCACCCCCTCCGGATGGTGTAGTACTTCTTCACTGCAAAGCGCTGCAGCCGCTCCACTGCTCCGGCCTCCCTGCGCTTCTTCACCTCCTTCATGCGGCGCTGCCTCTTCAGGAACAGATGCACGATGGGGTCCGTGGCGTTGACCTCTGACCCCTCATCGTCTGCAGTGATGAGAGGCTGCAGCTCAGGAGGGAGGGGCTCGGTTTCTGTGGGAAGATATAAAGTCAGCATTGCATGATTGTAATTCGCTCTTCAGGAAATGTTTCTTTACATTTGGATGTAGATGGAGATGTTCTCACATGTTCAGATGGTGTACCTTTGAGTTTATTTTGAATATAGTTTAGATAAAAAGCTGTACTAATAATGTAAAGGGGGAGGTAAGGGGGCCGTGAAGTACTTCTTTTAAAAAGTTCCTTTTATATTCCAAATCTTCCTTTCTCAACTTATCGGTGATCCTTTTCATTTATTTGATCCATTTCTGGTGCTAAGAGATGGTGGTTTAACCTCCACCAAATGTATTTTGTTTTAATGTAGCTATGCGTATTATTGTATCAATATATTTATATACTTCACTATACAGTGCTATCCTTTATTGTGTTATCTGCCATTTGCATAGGCGGCGCCAGGGGGGCGCTAGGGGGTGCTGCAGCTCCCCCTAGGATAGCCATAGCACCCCCTAAGCACCCCCAAGAAATGTATATCTTTTTTTATTTTTATGAGTGAAATTCATAATTTGAAAAATGGTTGATTCGAAAATAATATGCTACAGTAGAGTACAAGCAGCCTACTTCTGGGTCTCTGTGTTTCATTCAAGCTCGGCTCTGTGTGTGTGTGTGTGTGTCACGAGCCATTTTGTGTGCGTGCGTGCGCGAGTGAGAGAGAGCGCACCGGTACCGGAGCTAGCTAGCTACTCTAATGGATATAAGGAGCTGTTTCCACAACAAGGTGAAGGGAAAGTCCTCTCCTGTCAGACTGAGAGACTCCGTGAGGTAAAGGACTTTCTGAGTGTTTAGATAGTTAACTTTAGTCTAAGTTATCTCAGTGGGTCTCAAACGGTTTGGTCACGATTAATGTAAACAAGTATTTCCGAGGCACACGTGTATATGATCATTATAGGTATAGAAAAATAAGAGAATAAATGAAAAAGAGGTATAAAATACAATATAACAGTAAAACGAGTATACCGTTTAAAAGGGGAGTGATTTGTAAAATATCACCAGATTGATGCATTTAACTTCAATATTTTAAAAAAAGTCTTCCCGGGGGAGCATGCCCCCGGACCCCCCTAGAGCAGTGGTTCTCAAACTTTTTTCAATCATGTACCCCCTTTGAAAAAAAATTCAGCCAAGTACCCCCTGATCAGCGCAAAAACAATTTGTTAGGGAAAAAATGCCTAAAGAGGTACAGTACAGCCTTGCAGCATCAGTGTCTGATTTATTAAAACAACAACATTGTAACTGAGAAACACTTAAATGCTACGTTTCAAATGTTACAATCCATCACTAAATTCATGGCAAACCAATTTTAACATCATGCAATAACACTAAGACGACATTAGTTGCATTGAACTGATCTTTTTAATAAGTTGTACTTACAATGTAGTGAGAAACATGGGCTTGTGCTTCACTGAGGATCTTTGTCATTCTGACAGGGAGGCAAACTGCAGTTATTACACTTCGCGTTTTGAAATATGTGTAACTCTGTTAATATAAAACCCACACTGCTCAAACTTCGTTACTTTTTGTAAAATTGGTATATTTGTATATTTATTTATTTATTTAGGGGCGTGGGGAATGAAGAGAAAAAAATATATGAGCATTTTATGAGCATGGGATTTTGACCCCTCATATAAACATATGCATAATGCTGCGCGATACTTTGCGGCCACACGCCATTGTCAAGCAACGCTTATTGTTTAGGTCCTTTGAAAAGCAGGCAGTCATATAATGAACTAGAACTAGCTAGATCTGATAGATTTGGACATAAACGCGAGTGAAGTATAACCGGACGCGAGAGAGAGATCAGAGATCAGATCAGCTGCTGCTGACGGAGAACACGCAGCTCTGCATGATCACAGCTCCGCCGCTGTGACGGACCGTTGAGCCGAGCAAAATACACTAAGAGTTAGACCTAACACACTTAGCTAGTTTATCTACTCTGGAACTAGCTATACTAGTTATAAATATATTTATTATTTACTGTCGGGTCACTTATTACAGGTTCAGCGAGCTGCACGAGACTGACGGGCTGTCAGGAGAGGGAGAGGAAAAGAGAGCACCCCGTTTACTTTTCCCATTTTATTATCCAGAATTACTGTAAACTTTTGAATAAAGTAGTTAATCTACTATTAGTAGTTTGTTTAAATGCATTAATTATGTTTTTTTTTTTTCATTAACATAACATAAATCTCACGTACCCCCTGCAGTACTCCAACGTACCCCTAGGGGTCCGCGTACCCCCATTTGAGAACCACTGCCCTAGAGGATGTTAGGTCCACACACCACCTAAAATAGCACTTTACGCCTGCTTACACCTATATGCCGTGAACTGATTATCGAGCCTTCATTGTAAGAGTCGCGGGTACACTGTGTATGTGCGTGTGGGGAATGTTGCAGTAGAAAATTCAACTGTAGCGACCGGTACATTAATTGGAAACCCTAAATGTTTGAGCACCCTCTATGAAACGTCAAGCTACCCCACAGCACCCCCAAAAGAAAATCTCTGCCGCCGCCACTGGCCATTTGTACCTGTCCCGTTGCGGACTCGCTCCTGAAGCTCGAACAGTTTGGTGAAGTTCTCCTGTAGTGCTGCCTCTGTGGTGTTGACGTAGATGTACATGTAGCAGGACGGGCCCTCAGACACTGTGTACACCTTATGGTAAGCCCCAGCAGGTACCTACACACACACACATTATGTTAAGTGTTGAGTGTGTTTAAGTTAAACAGTATAATTATGAAGGTGATGATAGTGTGTTGCTTTACCTTTATCTGCTCTCCAGGTGTGAGGGTGTAGTTCTTCTTCTCCTCTACTACCTCCACGTTCACTTTGCCCTGCAGCACATGAATGCTGGTGTTGCCCAGATCCTCACTTACAAAGTTTTCTAAGTTGAGACCTACAGAAGTAAAATACTGTCATTTAGCACCAGAGGTAAAGGAAGTTTTCAGAACCATTACTTAAGTAAAAGTACCAATACATTATTTTCAAAATATTCCTTTACACGTAAAAGTCCTACACTTATAACCTGACCTGAATAAAAGAACAGAAGTATTATCAGCTAAATGAATGAAAGTATCAAAAGTACAATTATTAATTATTCAGACAAATGGCCTCCATGTGTGGTGTATAATTAAATATTCATTATTAGATGGTCTATATTGTTGCA